CCACAGACAGGGAGGAGCGGTGGGCCAAGGTGAGTGAAGGGCTATTGCCCCCATGTGGGGAGGAGTGGCCGGCCATGGTGTGTGAGGGCTGCTGTCCCTATGCTGGGAGGAGTGGCTTGGTCTTGTGTGAGGGGCGGCTGTCCGAAGACTAGGTGGAGCAGCCGGCTGAGGCTTGAAAGCCCGAGTGGTGCGTCCTCCCATGGCTAGGTGGGATCCAGTGGCCAGACACAGAGTTCGCGTGTTCTGGCCTGGTCCTGCCTGGTCCAGCATGGTCCTGTGTGATCCCTGCAACTCCCTGGGCCAGGCTGGCAGCCACTGAACAACTTCACTCCCTGGACTGTGTCTGCGGAGAGCATTGGGAGAACTGTGCTTAGAAATCTTTGTTGAGATCACTGTGAAATGCTAGTGCTTGTAGTGCTTATATTGTCACATGTGGAGAGACATCACCAAATTTGCCAAACTTGGAGAGTACTGGTCTCTCTTCCAGAAGTTCTGCACTTTTAACACTTAACATTTAGGTTTAAGATCCATCTGGGGTTAATTTTGTGGAGCTTGTAAATGGTATCTCCAGTGTAGATTAGTGTCCCACTGCTAAACTGTAATGTAGAAGAGTAGAATTGATGGTATAAGGATTTACCAATTCTTAGGAGACTTGGAGTCACACAACGTAGAATTTAGGAAGGAGAGGGCTGCATCCCAAATACCCCAAAGATAAGATAAGTAATATGCTAACCATGCCTGTTAGAGATTAGTGTGATAAGATGTAAATGTTTGTTCACCAGGATTAATCAGCCATTAAGCTATATTCTCATAACAAATGAGACAACCCTGATTTACAACCTCCCAAAAGGCCCACCTCCCCATCAAAGGCCTCTAACATGCTTCTCAAGGGGCAATTACAGGGTCACAACCAACATTAAGTCTTGGTCTGCCATGAAGGTATAGTAATTCTAAAACAGCTGCGTCTCCAGCCATTTTCAAAAGTGGTTTTGCGTCAAGGTCTCTGATGTTGATTGAAGTGGATGTGAACACTGTCTGGAGCCCCACAAGGCATTGCCCTTGCTGCCCTTCTGACTAGCCATCCAAAATTCTTGGATTATAGGTCTGTAGCACTACAGAGTTTTAAAATTACCAGTTTGAGTCACATAGTGGGCTGTACTTTGAGGTAACAGGAAAATGATTTGTGTGTGGAGCATGGCTTCTCCTTTCAGACCAGAAGAGGAGGAAGTGTACTGGGTATATACTGCAGGGGGAAACAGACTGAAGTTTAAGGCAGAGAGTTACAGGGGTCTCCATTACAAAGGACTTGATGGAGCACTCTGAATGACTTTCTATGTAATTTCCTATCATGCATTAATTCCTGTGATGATTTATTGTGTACCCTAATAAACTTGCCCGAGGATCAGAGGACAAAGCCAGCCACTAGATTAGACATAGAAATCAGGCAATGGTAGCACAAACCCTTAATCCTATCACTCAGGAGGCAGAAATCTGTCTGGATCTTTGTGAGTTCAAGGCCACACTAGGCTACATGAGGTTGATCCAGGATAGGAGAGAAACAGAGCCAGGCAGTGGTGGCACACACCTTAAATCTCAACACTTGAGATCTCATGCCTTTGCTTGGGAAGCACACATGCCTTTAATCCCAGGAAGTAAAGTGGCAGGGTGGAGAAAGGTATATAAGGCAGTTCAGCTAAGACTCTTCCGGGTGAGGACTCAGGATTTCAGTCAGAGGTTTTGTGGAGTTGGTGAGGTAATAGGTGGTGGCTGTGGCTTGCTTTGCTTCTTTGATCTTTCAGCTCTTGCCCCAATATCTGGTTTTTATTGTAAGACCTTTTAAGATTTAAACAGCAAATTCCTTCCATGTGAATGAAAACAGACAGAATATGTGAGTATACAGTATAGGGAGGATAGCTTGGATTACTAAGTATTCAGTTTCCAATTAGCAAACCCTTCTATGCAGATGTGTGTGTGCAGTCTGAGTTGACAAAGTTAAGTCAGCTGAGAGGTTTGAGACGAAGGCTTACAGCACTCAGTGGCTAACATTTTACATGTAACAAAAGTCATACAGTCTCTTATTAATGGCATTCTCTACCAGGGAAGTACCTACTCTGTTTCAAAGTCAGTATACCTAAGTGTTCTTCCAATTATTTTTATCATTTTAAAAAGTCAATTATTGGTACCATTGTTTAAATTTCACTTTCTTTAAATGCATTATTGTCCTAGTCTCTATTTGTTTCTATTTATCAATGTTTCCCAGTTTAAGAATTTTATTCCATTTTTTCTTATGTGCTATTTGCTTGTTTGTTTATTTATTTATTTATTTATTTATTTATTTATTTATTTATATCAGTTTAGAGCAGGGGTTCTCAACTTGGGGGTCACAGCTCCTTTGGGGGATCACATGATCCTATCACAGGACTAGCTTAAGACCACGGGAAAACGCAGATATTTCTATTACAATTCATAACAGCAAAATTATAGTTGTGAAGTAGCAGTGAAAAATAATTTTATGATTGGGGGAGTCACCACATCATGAGGAACTGTATTAAAGAGTCACAGCATTAGGAAGGGTGAGAACCACTGGTTTAGATCAATGTTTCCTGTAGCTCATGCTTGCCTCACACTATTTAATTGAGAATTGCTTTGAACACCTACCTAATCCTCCCTCTGCTGCCCAGTACTGGAAAGACAGTCCTGCAACTCCTTCCAGGCTGGGCCTTGACTGGTCTATGGGAAGGAAAAATAGTGAATGAGTATCCTCCAACTTCTCTAGATTTTATTGAGAATTTATAAATGAAGTGGGACCTGTGTGACTGACCAACTATAAAACAGGTGTAGTCACAGCACAGAAAGGGATAGGCAAAAAGGAGGGTGGAAGCTTTTGTGCTTTGACAGTAGTTGACATTATCAGTGAGTAGTGAGGGAATCAATTTTAGATGTTCCATAAATATCCTAACTGGCCATTGCTTGGGTCCACAGACCAGGTAATCAAGAATCTGGATAAAAAACTGAACTTACCATGAAACCAAAATTACTGTAGTTACGCCAGTTCAGTCTAAATAGAAGAACTGGATAAAATGTCACCCTGCCTAATATGACTGTGTTTTCCAGGTTTAAGATGTACAGCATGAGAGAATGGCATGGGCAGTGCTTGGTGTGCTCTAAGACAAATCCCTAGTCTCTGGAGGACATGGCCATAAAGCCTGTTTCAACTTTTTAACATAATTTTTGGGAATTATAATTTTATCATTTCCATTTTCTCTTCTGTCTCCAAGCCCTCCTATAGACCCTTCATTGTGTTCTATCTAATCCATAGCCTCTTTTTGTTTAACAACAACAGTTACTGTTTGAATGGGACCTGAGTTTGGTTGTAGGACCTCCCAGCTATGAGACAAAGGATTGGCTTCACTATACATTGAGTGTGTAATGGAATGTGCACACATAGGATCCTGTGCCTTGGAAGAGGAACAGGAAGTGCTCTGGGAGATTGGAGGATTTTACTAAACTACAAATTTCCCAAATTAGGACCCTGTCTGACCATAGTGTGGAAGGGTAGAGCTGGAAGGGCTTGTGTGGTTTGAGTCATTTGATCTCTGCTAACTCAGTAGGGAAACTGCCAATGTTCTGAAGCCCAGCTGGGTAGTCCAAGATAATGAGGGACTTTGGGGAAGGCTTAGCAATCAGGAGCACCAAGGAGGTAGCTTTCCAGGAGTTTCCACTTGTTCTGCTGTAGGGAGCTGAAAAGGAAAACCACAAGCCATGCCATGGTGAGTGTGGGGGCCACTGTCCCCAGATAAAAGAGCAAGTTGGCTGAGCTGTCAAAGCTGCTTGGACTGGGATGGACCATGAGCCAAACTGAGGTTCTCTTGGTCCCTGTGGTGACCTGGTCAGTGGCCCTCAACCTCTGAGCTTTGTTGAGTGTAGATTTCCTGGGGATGAGGAAGCTCTGCCATCCTGACATGGGAGACTATGAACTTGTAATATCACTGTCCAGTGTGCACACACACTCATTGCTTTTGTTGTGCAGTGGGAAGAAAGATTGGAAAACTGAAGAAGGTCTGGTTTCTAGAAGTTCTAAATGTTACATTCCACTTTTTGGTTTGTCTTTCAAATGTTACAGATAGTTTAGAAACTGGTAGAGATGGGGTGGTAGGCATCATCTTTCAGCAATACATGATTAGAATGTTTTCTACTTTCTGCTACTGCCAGCCACCATGGTGGGATTCAATGAAATTGAGTTCCAGGGCACAAAAGGAGTTTCTGAGCTGTAGAGGTATCTCAGGTTTGTATGATATTGGGCAGGTGAATAGGGCAGATGCCATGCATGTCTTGTGACATAATCCATGCGACAGAAAGCAGACATTAAATTATTCCTAAGCATTGTTGTGTGATTGGGCATCATTGGTGCTGGGTTTACCTGAAACCATAAGGTGACATGAGGGACTGTAGAGCCACCGTAGGCTCTGAAAGAGATCACCTCCATTTGCAGAGAGGGCTCTAGAGCATGTGGCCTTTCTGGAAGAAATATCAATAGCTGGAGGGTCAGCAAGTTAACAGTTTATGGGTCACTTTGAGTTAATTTTGTTGGAGTTGTGAGATCTGTGTTTATTTAATTTCTATACACATTGAACCTTAGGTAACACTGGTCAAGATCACACTTTTCCTGACTGAGTTTCCTTTTGTCTTTTGATTAAAAGTCGACTCTATATTCCTGCTTTTGTTCTTGGCTTTTTCTCTCCATCTTCTTTACTCTTTCAACAAATATTGTACACATTCTTGATTATTGTAGCTTTTGCAGTAAATATAGAAGTCAGATTGTATCAATGTGTGTAATGATTTTCATAATCCCATTGAGCATTCTCAGTGTTTCCACTTTGCATATAGCTTTAGAATCAGCTTTCTTCTTATAAACTGTCTGGTATTGTCTTTGGATTCAATTTATGGTGCAAATTGACCATAAACAACATCTTAATATTAATGCACCATGTTCCCAAGGATCATTTATATACTTTATTTATTTAGATTTTGTTGTTGTTAATCCATGAAAGACTTTTAGATTATTGGTTAAAAAGTATTATGGGCTTGGTAGGTCACTCAGCATAGATTATTCTTGGGAATGACATGATTTCAGATCTCAGCACCCAAATCAGGAGGATCATAACCATCTGCTACTCCAGGTTCAGGGGTTCTGATGGCCTTTTTTCCGGTGTGTTACCTGTACACATATGGAAAACATTCAAACATACAAACATACACATAAAAAAGGGAGATATATTTGTTTCCAAAAGTTCTTGTGATTTATAAAGAATTAGAGCAAAACAGGTTGCTTTAGGTGTATAATACAAATCATACATTGTTTCTTTAAAAATCTGTTATGTTGCATTTGGTTTGGAAAAGTTTTCCTTTCTTCACTCTAATGCAGACTTACATCTAATCATCAATCATAGGAAAGTGATCCTAACTTTTGTGAACAAGAAGGTAGATATGCATAGTTAATATAACAAAACTTATATTTCATTATGTAGATGATCATTGTACATATTTCATACTCTAAATTCCCAACTATGGTCCTAAACTTATCTCACCAATGCTGCTCACCTCTATCTTAGCTTAAGTTCAGGTTTCTTCTCTAACAGAAGTCTCTGATTCAAGGGTCAGGATCCGGGTTGAGATACTATAGCCCCAGGGCTGATCAAGATGATGTCTCTCCAGTTGATTGGCTTGATCTGTTTGGGAAGCATCCAGGCAGTGGGACTGGGTCCTGTGCTCAGTGCAGGAGTTGGCTGTTTGAAACCTGGGGCTTATGCAGGGACACTTGGCTCAGCCTGGGAGGAGGGGACTGGACCTGCCTGGATTGAGTCTACCAGGTTGATCTCAATCCTTGGGGGAGTCTTTGCCCTGGAGGAGATGGAAATGGGGGTTGGGCTGGGGAGAAGGGGAGGGGGGCAGGAGGGGGGAGAACAAGGGAATCCGTGGCTGATAAGTAGAATTAAATTATATGGTAAAATAAAATAAAATTAAATAAAAAAAAAGATCATGTATCTCCACATGTGCAGAGTAGAGCGTTGCTCATGGTCTCTATTTATATATTGTCCAGTGGGCATCATGTGGTTCTAGGACTGTGCCTGATTATCTGGAGTGAGTGATATCACTGGATTCTGGTTTTCAGGTATAGCCTTGGATGTAGTGTAGTTCATGATTAAGCTGTTTTTACATGTCTAAAAGGCTTTTTTTCAGCATCTAATGAGATAATCATGTGTTTTTTTTTTTTGTTTGTTTGTTTTTTTTCAGTTTATTTCTATGGTGGATTACATTGACAGATTTTCATATGTTGAACCATCCCTGCATCTCTGGGATGAAGCCTACTTGATCATGGTTGTTGATTTTTTTTTTTTTTCATGTGTTCTTTGATTCGGTTTGCCAGTATTTTATTGAGTATTTTTGCATCAGTGTTCATGAGGGAGATTGGTCTATAATTCTCTTCCTTTGTTACGTCTTTGTGTGGTTTGAGTATCAGGGTAACTGTAGCCTCATAAAAAGAATTTGGCAATGTTCCTCCTGTTTCTATTGTGTGGAACAATTTAAGGAGTATTGGTATGAGCTCTTTGAAATTCTGATAGAATTCTACACTGAAACCATCTGGTCCTGGGGTTTTTTTGGGGGGGGGGGTAGGGAAGAGTTTTAATGACTGTTTTTATTTCTTTAGGGGTTATAGGTCTATTTGAGTTGTTTGTCTGTTCTTGATTTAATTTTAGTTTGTGGTACCTATCCAGAAAATTGTCAATTTCTTTCAGATTTTCCAATTTTATGGAGTACAGGTTTTTGAAGTATGACTCAAAGATTGTCTGAATTTCCTCAGTGTCTGTTGTTATATCCCCCTTTTCATTGCTGACTTTGTTAATTTAGATATTCCTTCCCTTCCTTTTGGTTACTTTGGATAAGGGTTTGTCTGCCTTGTTGATTTTCTCAAAGAACCAACTCTTTGTTTCATTGATTTTTGGTATTGTTCTCTTTGTTTCTATTTTATTGATTTCAGCCTGGAGTTTATTTCCTGTCATCTACTCCTTCTGGGTGAGTTTTCTTCTTTTTGTTCTAGAGCTTTTAGGTGTCCTGTTAAGTCACAAGTGTGAGATTTCTCCAAATTCTTTATGTAGGCAGTGCTCTGAACTTAGCACTGCTTTCATAGTGTCCCTTAAGTTTGGATATGTTATGGATTCATTTTCATTGAATTCTAGACATCTTTAATTTCTCTATTTATTTCTTCCTTGACCTAATGGTAATTCAGTTGAGAGTTGTTCAGTTTCCATGAGTTTGTGGGCTTTCTGTAGTTTGTGTTGTTGAACCCTAACTTTTATCCATGGTGATCTGATAAGATACAGGGGGTTATTCTAATTTTTTTTTTTTGTATCTGTTGAGATTTGCTTTGTGACTGAGTATGTGGTGAATTTTAGAGAAGGTTCCATGAGATGCTGAGAAGGTATATTCTTTTGTGTTTGGGTGAAATGTTCTGTAGATGTCTATTAAGTCATAATATCTGTTAGTTCTTTGTTTCTCTGTTAAGTTTCTGTCTGGCAGATCTGTCCATTTGTGAGAGTAGGGTGTTGAAGTCTCCTACTATTAATGTGTGGAGTTAGATGTGTGATTAAGTTTTAGTAATGTTTCTTTTAGAAATATTGGGTCCCCCTGTATTTGGGCATAGATGTTGAGAATTTATACTTCATCTTGATGAATTTTTCCCTTGATGAATATGAAATGTCCTTCTCCATCTCTTTTAATTAATTTAGTTTGAAGTCTATTTTGTTAGAAATTAGGGTAGCATACTGGCTTGCTTCTTAGGTCCATTTGATTGAAAATCTTCCCAACCCTTTATTCTGAGGTAATGTCTGTCTTTGACGTTTTTGATGTTGAGGTGTGTTTCTTGTATGCAGCAGAAGGATGTATCCCGTTTTCGTATCCATTCTCTGCACCTGTGTCTTTTTATTGGCAAATTGAGCCCATTGATATTAAGAAATATTAATCCCCAGTGGTTGTTAATTCTTGTTATCTTTTTGGTTTTGGTGGTAGTAGGTGTGTGTGTGTGCGTGTGCGTGTGCATGTGCATGTGCGTGTGTGTTTTCTTTCTTTGGGTTTCCTGGTTTGAGATTATCTATTACCTGTGTTTTCATGGGTGCAGCTAACTTCCTTAGGTTGGAGTTTTCCTTCCAGTACTTTCTATAGGGCTGGGTTTGTGGATAGGTATTGTTTAAAACTGGTTTTGTCATGAAATTTCTTGTTATCTCCATCTATGGTGATTAAAAGTTTTGCTATAATATAACAGATACCAAAACTCCATTCTTTCATAGTTTTTAAAGCAGGAATGGAACATCATACCATAAAATAATCTTTTTTTTTTTTAATTCAGAATTTGGTTCTTAGTATAGAATTGGCTGGAATGGATCTTGATATTGTAGACCAGGCTGGCCCAAACCCACAGAGACCCACCTGATTCTTATAAAATCATTCTCTATTCTAGAACTCAGTATATCTTCGAAGTTCGTTATACATGTACATGTAGTGTCTACTTTTTCTTTGTCTTTCTTTGGGACAGGGCCTTACTATGTGATTACCCCACAGCCTCAACCTCCTGAGTTATGGGATTAGAAAAATGATCTACAGTTTTTGGATCTGTTTTTATTTTCATTGTGTCCAAAAACAAAATAAAAGAAAGTTTTGAGAGGATTCTTACAATTTTAGAAAACTTAAACAAGAAATTTAAGAATGGTACAAACAGCATAGAAAGAAAGCTGTGGTAGGGATTCCATGAATCTACTCATAGAACTTCAGTCTTGGAATATCAATTCCTATCCTCCAAGAATTAGAGTGAATAAGTATTTTTGGAGTATGTGGTAGATGCCATTTTTTTATGTTGAGCAATGTTTCTGTTGAATATTTATTAGTTCCTAAATTTGTGGGACTTCAGTAAATTATATATTCCATTACTTAAAATTGTTTTCAGGAGACAGGAAAACTGCATGTTTTAGAGAGTAAATATTGCATTGAAAGAATTTCAAGTTTCTAGCTATATGATGTTTTCTATTTCATCCATTCTGGAAATCTGTTCTCATCATCTCATATATTCAATGGGTATGTTGAGCATGCCTCATGAGAAAATCTGTAAACTTGTCAAAATGTTGAAAAGCCTTATGGATGATACAAGCTTAGCTGGTAAAGTCTAAAGAGATACCCCAAACATCAAAAGGTACTGAAAGCTTTTGTTTTGGAGAATTACTCATTACTGATCATTTTGGAAATAATTTAAATTTTCTAGATATAATTTAATAATATCAGGGTCTTTTTTAATAGATGATATTCAGAGTGGCCTTACGCTCTTTGAGGTTTTAATTTAAAGAGTGTTTTGAATTAACAATAGAAACTACTGAGATACAATTGACCCTAATGTTGACATTGGAAAGTAGCATAAACAGTATCTATATTATTTCAATTTTACAAAGGAGGAAATGGAAAACTATTGATAGGAGAGTCTGGAAATTTTCTCTATGCTGGTAAGTTCTAAACTCAGAAGTGAGACAAACAGAAAACTTATTTGGTAGTGTTTACTATGGGATGAATTAGTTTAAAACTTGGCTTTGATCCTCATAATACCTTTATTAAACTATCCTCAGTGATTAGTTTTTACCTAACTAATTGTAATGTCAAATTTAGGACTGTGGGCATTTTAGTACTGTATACATGTATAGCTCTAGGCCAGGTTGTTACATGCTAGTGTTTTCTATTTAAAGAGATGTTTCAAACCTTGCCCTTCTTATGATAAAGCTTCTTTATTATATTTTAACAAAAGGAGTTGAAAATTTGGTACCGAATTTAATACACTAATAATTGTATTTCAAGCTGGGCGGTGGTGGCGCACGCCTTTAATCCCAGCACTCGGGAGGCAGAGCCAGGCGGATCTCTGTGAGTTCGAGGCCAGCCTGGGCTA